CAAACAGAGAGAGCGCGGGTATAATCTAACAATCGAATTTACTCGTCCGAATGTCCCTCTCCCGGCTTCATCCGCTGTGGAACTCGGCTTTAATTTCAGGAGCAAAGGGGCGTCCGCGCGGTGCCTCACTAGCTGCCTCCTAGCATGACAGGTCCCAGCGCCTGGCTAGCACTTCTCGCTGATCAGTCCCGTTTGGGCAGAAGTGTCTTGCCTGGACTCTCCCACGACGTAGACTTTGATCTTTCTTGAATCTTCGAGGATTTTTTTTCCTCGAAGTAAATGAGCATGGCAGAGAGAGATGGAGATGGAGACAGAGACGGGGGATAGAAATGGGGACGGAGATGGAGATGGAGACAGAGATGGGGATAGAAATGGGGACGGAGATGGAGATGGAGATGGAGATGGAGATGGAGATGGAGACAGATATGAAGGCAGAGACGGAATAGAGATAGAGATGGAGATGGAGACAGAAATGGAGATGGAAATAGAGATGGAGACAGATATGGAGATGGTGATGAAGATGAAGATGAAGATGGAGATGGAGATAGAGATAGAAATGGAGAGAGGGAGGGATGGAGGGAGGGAAGGCAGACGAGGACCCCGCTTACCTTCTCGCCGGAGTCTGATGGCAAATAGAAGACGAGGACGGTGAGGAAGGAGATGCCCATGCAGGGGATGATGAGGTTGACGGTGTAGAAGAGTGTCTTGCGCCTCATGGTGATGTTGAACGTGATGTCGAGGTACGGCTCGTCGCAGCACGTGTAGTACTTCTCGTTCCTGGGGATTTAGAAGGGGGGGGAGGCGGAAGGGAGAAGGGGGGAGGGAGAAGAGGAAGGGGGAAGGGGGAAGGGGGAAGGGGGAAGGGGGAAGGGGGAAGGGAGAAGGGAGAAGGGGGGAAGGGAGAAGGGGAAGGGAGAAGAGGGAAGGAGAAAGGGTGAGGGAGAAGGGGGAAGGGAGAAAGAAGAAGGGAGAAGGGAGGGTGGGGGACGACATGTGTTCAGTCAGGCACGCATAAGAGATAGTTAGTTATTTGTATCACGAATTCCATCCATTTATTGCAACTGCTTTGATCACATAGAATCCCAACACGAATTCACATATAGCAATACTAATGATAACCACTTTGGCTTAGACAAAAAAAAAGAAAATAAATACTAGTGATAGTATTACTAACCATCACTTAACTTTAAGTACAAAACAAAATAAATAAAGATATTGCTACTACAACTACTAACTTTGCCTTTAATACAAAAAGAAACTACTACTAATGCTAATAATCTTTGTAGATAGAACCAATGAAAAAAAAAACTATTACTAATACTAATGCTAACTTTGTCTTAAAAAAACAGTGCTAATAATATCCACTTTGAATAAGATTAAAAAGAAATAGACAATACTAGTACTATTATTGATAATAACTACATTGCTTCATAAAAAAATGGAAAAAAAAATACCAACACTAATACTAATAGTAAACCTTTTTCCTTAACTCCCCTTCCCCGCGTACCTGATGGCCGGCACAGCGAGGATGTCCCACTCGACCGACATGTAGAACTCAGAGAGGTCGACGCCGATCTCCACCACGGGGTTGTGCTCCACCTCGTCTATGTGGCGGAGGTCGACCTGCAGAGGAGGGGAAGGCCGGTTAATCTCATGAGGTTCTGGGTGACTTGTCTCTGTTTAGGGCGGTTGGATGCGGGCGGCGGAAAGGAGTGTTTCTGGTCGTGTGGTTGTTTTTATTCAATGCGGGGAACTGTTGATAATAGTATTTAAACGCCAGTCTCCATGTTAGCGTTGAATCGAATCTGGAACAGGTTATACAAAAGGATTTCCTTTCTCTATAGTATTGCTTCCATGCCATCTCCTCCAAACAACTATATCTTAAAAAACAAAGACATGAAGAACGAGCAAAATGAGCCCTTCAGTTACACAGCTAAGAAGACCGAGTTAAAAAAGAAGAAGAAGAAGAAAAAAACAACAACTAAGAGGACCGAGTTAAAAAGAAGAAAAAAGAAAACAGCTGAGAAGACCGAGTTAAAAAGAAGAAAAAAACTCCGAGGACCCGCTAAGAGGGCCGAGGACGAGGCAGGCCAGCCGAATTCTCCTCACCTGGCCTCCGTCGTAGGTCCAGGACCCGAACTTCATGACGCAGGTCTGCTCGTCGAACGGGAAGAACTCGACGTCGATTTCGCACGAGGACTTGTAGATGGCCGGCGGCTTCCACTCGACCAGGCCGTCGTGGTGCAGCGTCGCCTTCGTGGCCAGCGTCACCTCGAAGTTGCCGTCGGCGCTGCGGGGTACAGGGAGGGCGTGAGAGCGGGGGGAGCGGATGGGGGCGAAGGCGTGGGTGAGTGGGTGGGTGTGAGAGCGAGGGCAGGTGAGTGAGATGATGTGAGAACGTGGGTGGGTGTGGAGACGTGGATGAGTGTCTGGGCGTGAAGCCGTGGGCAAGTGGGTGAGTGTGAGGGCCTGGGTGAGTGGGTGGACCTAAGAGCGTGGGTGAGTGGGCGGCCTCAAGCGAATGGGGGACGCTCGGGTGCGGGGATACGTGTGTGGAGTTTGAACGCCTGAGTGACTGGTAGAGATTGCAGGAGAAGCGAGTGGAAGGAAGGCTTTGGCCGCACGCATGGTTGACAAGACACGAACAGTCTCCGGTAATGGGCGTGGGAGAGGGAGTGAACAGAGAGAGCTACGCGAGGCTTTAAATGGGTTTGGTGAACACACACACACACACACACACACACACACACACACACACACACACACACACACACAAATATATATACACGCATACACCTACATATATCATATATTACTGCCGGATAAGACACAAACGAGAAAAAAACAACAAAAAAAGAAAGAGCGAAAGAGAGAAAAAAACGAAAAAGAGAAAGAGAAAACAGAGGAAGAGCGACAAGCGCGCGCGTGCATCTGCCGTTTGATGGATGATCCCGCCTCTCCTTCCCACCATTTCCACGTCCTGTCTTTCTCTCGACTTTCTGATATAACTTTCCAATCCACAAGGGGCGGCGACTTAATAGAAAGCCTTGGGTTAACTTTGCGTCGAGTTGCAAGGGCTTAGGGGAGACTTGGGACAGGCTGTAAGTCAAAACTCGTGCATCCAAAGCTTATAAGTAATGGAAATAAAAGATGTCTGTGAGTAAAAAAAGGTGAAAAGAATAGAAAATGTAGCGTTCTTGCTCTGCCTTTGTCTACGAATTTATCTTCTCTTCTTCATTCCCTTTACACGTAATAAATTGCCTTATAGTTCTGAAAATGTAATTATTCCAAACAAGTCTGATTCTTTTTCAAGTAATTTTTTCTCTTTTACGTACAATACAAATACAATTGTGTTCCGCGTACGAGTCTGACGGTAATGAATACTGTAGATGTAAGCTTCCTCTCTGATAATAAATCTTCTTTGGATAATATATCAGAAAAAAATAATATTTCCCGTTCTTTGAAATGCGAACTCGTTAGATAAATACAATTAACCTAGGCAAAATATATAACACAATATCCCATTTTTTTACCGCATGAACCGTTTATTGAAATGTAAATAAGTACAATCAACCAGCGCGAAATCTACAATATATTACCAATTTTTTTTAACAATAAACTTTACAGAAAAAATACATCGTTCATGGCGAAGCAGAGTGAAACAGTGAAACAAAAAGGTTCGAAACTTATAGCGGGAATTTCAGTACGGTGATGCCACGGGCCAATTATAGACTTCAGAATTTAGTTTCTATTATACTGCATCAAAGCCCTGTAGATTACAAAAAAAAAAAAGCGATCGCTAATGAAAATAGGGTTTTGTATCAAGTTTCGATAATGCATTAACGTCTGAATGGAGAAATACTTGATGACTCTTGGATTCAACTGTTTGATTTTGTATTTATTTTTTTTGCCAAGAATTCATTACAAAGCATGTATACATACATACAAGCATACAAACATACATACACACAAACTCACACACACACACACATACACAGATACATACACACGCACATATATACATATATACATGCATACGAGAATATATACAAATATATATACATATATATATATATATATATATATATATATATATATATACACATATATACATATATGCATATATACACAAATGTATATATCTATATATATGTATATATATATATTTTTTTTTCTTATATATATAAACATACACACACACACACACACACACACACACACACACACACACACACACACACACATATATATATATATATATGTATGTATATATATATATATATATATATATATATATATATATATATGTATGTATATATATATATATATATATATATATATATATATATATATATATATATGTATGTATATATATATATATATATATGCATATATATACATACACACACACACACACACACGTGTGTGTGTGTGTGCGTGCGTGCGCGTGTGAATGACTGCCCGCATTCTGTCCTCACTTGTTGTAGAGCACGATGTCCGGGCGCCAGATGTGGTCCGACGGCACGTGCAGCATCTTCACCCCCCCGTACTCCGACGGCTCCCACTTCAGCTTGTAGTCGTACCAAAACTGCGGGAAAATGATAAGGGATTAGAACTTCGCCTTTCGCTTTGTTAGAGCTTGTTACGCATGGATAACCTTCCTTTAAAACGTGCTTGAATATTATCTTTCTTGGCGTGGTAATCTAAACTTAACCTGAAAAAAAAACGACTGGAAATTTGCTGCAGGACGTAGATGTATTCCTGCCATATATATAAAAAAAGAATATTCGTTAGCTCTTTCCTTGCACGATGACCTAAATTCAGTCTAAAAGAGCAACAAGGCTGGAATTTTGCAGCGGGATGTAGAGTAATAATTCCCGCCAAAACAGTCTCTCACAGCGGAACCAGAAACGAGCTCCGCGCCTGTTTCAGGGCGGGAGGAACACACAGTCCCCGGCAGCGAGGATTTTCTGTCCGGATAAATCAATTAGGACTCGACTCCCGGCCAGGCTGAGCCGCCCTCCGCTTCCTCCACAGGGCGATCTCTCTTCCCCGCTCGCACCTTCGTCGCTCCCGCGTGGGCAAGCACCCCCCCCCCCTTGCGATTTACGAGAAGCCCATGGCCCCCAACGCGCTTCATTTCCTCGGCGGGGTGTTCCAGCTAAGAGCTTCAGGCCTGACAAGCCATACAAATTCTTTACCTCCCCCCCCTTCCTATATTACGCAACATCCTGTTACGATATCTCTTAAATTTTCCCCTTACTTACCCACTCTTCCCCCTCCCAGGCCGCCGTTTCCCCTCTTTTACCTTCCCTCTCTCCCCACGTGGTAGTAAAAGCAAGGCAACACGTTATAAAGACGACCCAGCGGCCGCTAATGGGTCGTACATCTCGGCCTCAAATGGACACGGGACCCACTACGCCTTGTTAAGAAGCGCCGGGAATTCGCTTCAGAGCCTTTAATTGTCGCCAGGCTGCCAGGAACCCCCAGGCTCCAGCACCATAGAGTCTTAAGTAATGCTGTTCGGTATTTTATATTCGGCCAAGGGAAAAAATGCTGCGGTTTCTGTAACCTGGCCGCCTATTTTTGTGCTTGAGAGCACGCATTTTATATATATATACATATAAATGTATATGTATATATAGATATAGAGAGAAAAATAGACAAGTAGACAGATAGACAGGTAGATAAATAGAGAGACAGATAGATATATAATCCAATCAACCAACGCAATTTCGTTTTGACAAGGGTGCGTTAACGGTTACTTCCCCATATTGCGTACATCCACTGTGGCTACAAATATAACACTCGATCCTTATGTATTCATTCGCACAACGGAAAAGACACGCGTAAAGGTATTCGGATTCACTCCAGCGCTTGTCTCATTGCAAACGTTTCTCGCAGAATGACCTGGGCATCTCTCGCGCCACACTTCCCGGATTATCAGTGCCACCAAACGCCCCTGGCACCCCAAATGTTCCCGTCTGCTAGCGCCCACTCGAACAAATCCCTTGGAAAATCATGCATAAAGGAGCAAACATGATCCCAGAAATGAAATGGCGTATATAAAAAAAAATCAAAACAAAAAAAACAGACACTGCAGGTAATAAAATCCTCGACTTTTCACCCTCTTTACCGCTAGAATCCCCATTTGCGCGGAATTCCTCCAACAGGCTTCGTCCCCAACAGCTGATCTTGGGGAGGACGAGCGTAAAGCATTTCTGTCATCATTCACTCGGCTTTCTTTGACAGAATGTGACGCTCAAACGACATCAAAGGCTGCTCGTCGTGTTTAATACGTCGCTCGCATCGCTAGCGGTACGAGGCTGCTCTCGTCGTCTCTTTAATGAACGAGGGACTGAATAAAATTGAGTTAAATATTTTGAACGTTTACCAGTGCGGATTTCTGGCGATTATTTTGTATATAACTAAAAAAAAGCAATTAGCTATAACTTGCCATAAAATGCCAAACTTTACGTTCATTAATTGTGAATGAATATCTCTTTGATCAACATCGAGTTGATGACACCAAGCTCAGTAAATAAGGCACACCATCTCAAATCGGACAAATCTACGCGTGTATTCACGATGACGGCCATTTTATTGGACGCCAAGCAGCGGGCCGTAACAACGCCGCGTCCACGTTCTCATGTAAAAGTTATATCACGGACTACTGAACACTATGATAGAATAATGTCGATATAAAAAAGGAATTACCTACAAAAGCTGGTGATTTCTATGTGCTGCAGAATAACTGTGGGTTACAATCACTCTATATGTATCAGCGGTGATGGCCGCTGCGCAATCCAGCAACAATCGGTTTAGTCGGTTGACAAACCATAAATTTGATCTTTATAGCGCCGCAACTCTCTGTTACTATAGTTATATGAAGGCATTTTTTAAAACATAATTTTCATCCTCGCAAAATTATGGCCACAGGATAAATAGCGAATTTATATCTATAATGAATGATGCGAACACCTCTCGAGCGCAAAGTATACAGTGACTGTTTTGTTTTTTTACTGTCAAGGTTCATATATGTTTTTGAAGGAGCTAAATAAACACATAAAACTAGAAATTAATAACAACAGAAAACGGCAGGTTAACAAATCCACGCCGGAAAAAATGAATGCAATGAACGACTCCATCCAACCAGTAAACAAAGTCTGATAAAAAATGGAATCGAAATAAAAACAAGAAGCCAAAACGACGAATCATTTAGAATCCCTAATCGGCAGGAAGGCTTTACGAGGTCGTAAATGTCCGAGTCACGTAAGGAAGGCGCCATATTTTTTTTTCCACCACACGCTTCGCATTTCGCACTCCGCTCGAACTTCATTTCCTGCTGGACGAGACGCCGCCGCCGCCGCCGCCGCCACCCTCGCCTCGCTTGCCTGCCGCAGCCGCAGTCTCCTTCGACACCGCCACCAAAGGCCGCCGCCGCTGCCCCCGCGACCGATTGGCGAAGGCGCGGCGGTCGAAGGGAGACTGATATTTATTTTGGGCGATGGAGTTGGGTTAAAGCATTTTTGAAAGGAAGGGAGGGGAGGGGGAGGGGGAGGGGGAGGGGGGAGGGGAGGGGGGGAGGAAGGGGGAGCGGGGAGGGGGAAGGAGTAAAGGAGGGAAGGAGGAAAGAAGAGGTAAAGAGGGCAGCAAGAGGGAGGAAGGGAGAAGTAGAAGAGCGAAGGAGGGAAAGAAAGAGAGAGGAGAGAGAAAGAGAGAGAGAGAAAGAGAGAGAGAGAGAAAGAGAAAGAGAAAGAGAGAAAGAGTGATAGAGATAGATAAATAGATAGATATAGACAGACAGACAGATACATAGATAGAGAGGGTGAGGTTGATGGATAGATAAACAGACAGAGAGAGAGAAAAAAAAAGAAAAAGAGATACAGATAGATATGTAGATAGATAGAGATAGCCAGATAGACAGAGAGAGAGAGAGAGAGAGAGAGAGAGAGAGAGAGAGAGAGAGAGAGAGAGAGAGAGAGAGAGAGAGAGAGAGAGAGAGAGAGAGCGACAGAGAGAGGAAAGAAAAAGGGACAGACATATAGATATATAGATAGATAGAGGTAGAGGTAGAGGTAGAGAGAGAGAGAGAGAGAGAGAGAGAGAGAGAGAGAGAGAGAGAGAGAGAGAGAGAGAGAGAGAGAGAGAGAGAGAGAGAGAGAGAGAGAGGGGGAGAGAAACGTACAGACAGACTATTAGGATTCTCCATTCTCGAGTGCCTACACATAAGATTAACTCCGGCGGGCGGTGTTATGTTGAATGGGTAAAAGATGCTGCCGGGTTTTGTAAACTAAGCGCCCCGCCCCTGGTAGACGGATATATTTTTTTCTTTAACCCATAAATCTGTTTACCCCATCGTTTTTTTTTTTTTTTTTTTTTTTTGAGCTGATGGATTAAAGTTTTTATTATATTTATTACAGAATATGTCTCTCTGAAGCGACTTTCCCTATTTCTCTTCGAATAACAAAATAGAAAATGGATACACCAAGAAAACAAGAAAGCAAGCAAGAAAGAAAGAAAGAAAAAAAAAAACATAAAGAAAACAAAACTAAAAAAAAAAAAAGGAAAGAGACGAAGAGAGAGAGAGAGAGAGAAAAAAAAACGATGGCTGTGAAGTGACAGAAAGAACAAAGGAGAAGTTAGTGATGAAAAAACAACAAAGAAACGGACGATGAAACAGGTATGAAAGAGGAAGGTGCAGCCGGCGCGCCAAAGCGGGAACGAGGGGAGGGGAGGAGGAGGGGAAAGGGGGGGTAGGAGCCGTGGGGAGGAGAGGGGAGAAGGGGGGGTAGGAGCCGAGGGGAGAAAGGGAGGATAGGAGACGAGGGGAGGAGAGGGGAGAAGGGGGGGGAGGAGCCGAGGGGAGGATAGGAGACGAGAGGGGAGAGGCGAGGTTGGGAGGAGGGTAGGAGGGCGAAGGAGGGCGAAGAAGGAACGGAGGGGAGGAGAGGGGAGGAGAGCCAAGGCGGAGGGGGAAGGCGGGAGAGGGGAAGTGAAGGAACCCTTGAGAGTTGCCCTCGCTTCAAGGAGTGGAGGAGGCCTTGGAGTGAGGGCTGACATCTCACACGTACTCCCTGGGGAACTGCTGGCGGGGATAGGGGGGGAGGGGGGAGTCAGAGGAGAATAAGGGGGGTAGGGGGTGGGGGGAGGCGTCTCGAGGGCTGTCCTAAAAGAGAGGCTAAAGAGCACAAGCTAATGATGAAATAAGAACCACTTAAAGAACGGCGTACTCTGTGTGTGTGCGTGCGTGTGTGCGTGCGTGTGTGTGTGTGTGTGTGTGTGTAGGGAGGGAAGTGATGGATTAGGGTTTTTCTTTGGAGTTGATTCTTCTCTTCTTTTTTCTCTTTGTTTCATGGTTTCTCTTTGGATTCGTCTTTCTTGTTTTCTCTCTTTCTCTTTCCCTCTTTTGCTTTTTTGCCCTCCGTCTCTCTCTCTCTCTCTCTCCCACTGTATCTATCTCTTCCTCCTTTCTTCCCTCCTTCCCTCCATCTCTCTCTCTCTCTCTCTTTCTTTCTCTCACTCTCTCTCCCTCCCCCCTCTCTCTCTCCTACTGTCACTCTCAATATTCATCATTTTCTTCCAGCC